CTTCTTCTTCTTCTGTTTTAGAATAAGGGTCTTCAGATCCTCTTGCCCTTTAGCCAAACTTATGAACATTTGTTGGAATTGGGCGTTCTGTACCTGAAAATCCTTGATGGCTTGATCGGAATATATTTCTGCTGAAATAAACAATGCAGAAGATGAGAAACCTTTAAGGGTACCTGTAATGATGTGCATGATAATGGGATGCGCATGTAATGATTTCAAAGATTTCGGGAGATTTAAATTTGTAAACCAAAAATAAACAAAACTTTATTAGCTTAACTTTGAAAGGTTCAACAATGCCTTTAAGGCGTTACAAAGAAGTAAATAAAACAAAATCTAAAACTAGAAAAAGCAAAAGCAAAAGTCCCATGGTCGCTTCCTCTTTGTGCTGATATAGTCATTGATCACTCTTTCTTCCTCGAGCTGCCTGGTGAGCTTCAAAACCTTCCTTTCTTGCTCATGGAACTAGTCCCGGTAAGTGTCCCGCTCATTCTTCAGCTGAATCCAAGACCTCTGTAACTCCCCAAGATCAGTGGGCATGTAAGGATAGAGAACTGTGTAAGGAATGCCTTCTTCATTAGTGGGCTCCATAATCACTGGTAATACGGCCTCATAGGGCATCCCAAGCTTCTGGGCACGAGCTCGGACCCATTGGAGGTAAGGCTGCATAGGAAGGGAAGTCTTTGGTCCTAACTCTTGGGGATCAGATCTGTTCACCATGCCCTTGGCTTGTATAAACCTCCTACGATGCTCCTTAATGTCCTCCTGATAGTCAAATACAATGTCCTCAAGAAGTAACTCATGGGGACCATCTCTTCGAGCACGACCGAATTGTCGCAAAGCTAGACAAGGATTGTAATTTATACCTCCTCTAATTCCAAGCAAGGGGACATTAGGGTACCCCCACAACGGTCAATAACAGAAGTGTCTTCCATAGCCTGAGAACACCAAAGAATATTTGTATGAGCAAGTGACATTATTCTGTAGGACCAACCCAAACCTTCTTCGTTCTTCAGCACAGACTTAGGGAGGTGAGAAATAAACCACCTTGACAACAACGACATGCAACACATAAGAGTTCCTCTTCTCCTCATAGTACGGGTGTGAAGAGCATGCAAGATATCTCCCAGCAAGGTAGGCACAGGGTTGCGAGAAAGGAAAATCTTGACAACATTCACATCTACAAAGGAATCCGGATTCGGGAAGAGAACCAAATCATAGATAAGGAGAGCCAAGACATCTTCAAAAGCTTGAAAATCCAAATCATCCCAGAATAGCTGAGCATGGTCTATCAGAAATTTGGCTAGAAAACCTCCGACTCTGCTTCGAGTTTCCCAATTGGATACCATATCGGCCTGTTTTAAATGCAGAGTTGAGGCAATGTCTTCTGGTCTAGGAACTTCTTTCATACCTGTGAAGGGTACCTGTTCAAGGATGGATATGCCCAATAGATGAGAGAACTCTTCCAAGGTGGGTACCAGTTGGTAGTCTGGAAAGGTGAAGCAATGATGCACGGGATCGAAGAACTGAAATAGTACGCTCATCATCTGCTCATCAAGATTTGAAGTAACCAGGCTGAGAAGTTGACTGTGTCTCTTAATGAACATAGAAGTCTCAGAAACTCTTGAGGCTAGCTCTTTTAAGTTGGGCAGGTATTTGCACAAAGTTGACTCGGATAGTATTTCTGCGCACGGAAGCCATGATCTGCAAAACCGAACAAAGATAAATTCCTTTGGTCTTTGAAATGGTTAGTGTAATGAAGTATGAATGCCATGTCATGATGCATGATGTCATGATAAACCACAAGTATAGCAAACAACAGGTATTGCAAACACAGTCAAATCACACAAAACCCTTATGTTTAAGGCTTGCATGAGGTCAAAGGTAATACCCTCTTGAAGTTAAGTTGGTTTCAACCTGTCCTAGGAAAAAGTAATCGGGTTCTAGAGGATCTCAATATCACTGACCATCCTCCATCGGTCATGGTTTCAGCTCACGCAATCTTTTCTTGCGGCCGGAACTATCTCGAGAGTATGGTCTCAATGAGTGTAGCATCGAGTATCAACCAGTTCTCAGCTCTACACCGAGGTCGACTATCTCACTACTTTCTAATGGCCAAGTTGGGCGATTAAAGGTTCTAAGGTCAGTTAATGCTTAACGACACCACGCAGCGGCCCCGTATTCTCCTCGTTTCTCCACAAGGGATACCGATACCAACCAATGTGCCACATCAACGTAGCTACTTCTTCAACCGTATCGGTCTATGTTGTACAGTTCCCTCACAGTCTATTGCTACTTACCTAAAAGGTATCCCCAGATTCGGGTTAGGATCTATAGTAACCCCAAACAGAACCCTCAAAAAATAAAGCAAACAAAGCAATCAAGAGAAGCAAATATGATGAACTAGATCCTAAGGTATACCCTACTTATTCGTCCCCAGTAGAGTCTCCAGTTCTGTTCTTGCTCTGCACGACTGTTCCAACTCTCTCTGCCTTGGATTCCTTCTGTATATGTAGTGCAACATATTAGGTCAACAAAAACAACTTGAATCTTGCCCATTATGAAGATTTGATTTAGTCTTTCATGGCATATGATATCTTTCCAAATTTGCTTCAATCCAATCTTTTTCAACCCAAATCAGCCTTGCACGAATTGGTTCTCATTTGACAGCACATAAGATCTTCCTTCAATACAAAAATCATCCCTAAAACACATTATATGATTTATTTAGATTTATTTGATTTTATTTGAATTTTAAATGAATAAAATCAAAATAAATTAAATAAATAAAGCATGGAGAGTCCCATAGGTCGTGGACTATGCTAGAAATGAGATGCAATCTTGAAAAGATGGGCCCATGTAGAAAAAAAATGCAATTTTGAGCATATTTGACTTTTAGCAATTTTGCAAAAATGGTCAACTTGGCCAATGCACAACTCTCTCAATTTTGACCCTAGATGGGTGTTCTTGGACTTTTTAGAAATCTTAGGATTTCCTCTAAGCAACCCATTTTGTCTCATCTCAATTGAGTCTCCCATGTTCATGTATGAAGTTTTGATCCAAAAGGTGTTTTTGTTGACTTTTCAAAATGACCTATAATGTCAAAATTCATATCTTCCTGTGATTTCATATCTTGAACTTGGGGGATGAAGATGAATTGTAGACAATTTCATCCCCTTCAAAATGAGCTTTGGATGGGTCATTTCTGATGAATTATGAGAAAGTTATGCTTGGTCAAAGTTGAGTTGACTTTTCCTACAAAACCCTAATTTGACAACTTTTGGGTTGATGAATTGTGAGCAATCCTTGATGAATCATGATCAACCCTTGATCAAATGATGAATGATACTTCAAAATGAGGATGTTGACCAAAAATCTTGAAGTTTGACTGTATGTGGGCCACAGTTGACTTTTGACCTAGCATAGTCGATTTTTAGGCATTTGAGCAATTGACTGAGCAAACTTCTTCTGCAAGGCTTGAAACTTGACATGGATGATCTTGGGAACATATTAGGATAATCGAAGGCATTTGGGATCATTTGAACTCAAGCATCTTGATGAAAAATGAAACCCTAATTTGAGGTAGACTGCCTTAGGAGAGAGTTTGTCTGGTCAATTTCTGAACTTCCTTGAGCAGTTTGGGGGCTTCACGTGATATTTGTTGAGAAATATGGAAGGGAAAATTTTGGGGTACAACACTCCTGATCTGGACTGGGCCTGCACTTGCCCCTCGGATAGGAGGCCCAACCCAACACCTTTACATAAGGCCCAAACAGACAACCCAACTTAGGGACCGTTGGGCAACTCCCCACATACCCGTTGGGAAACGTGGCCAACGTTCTCGTACCAGTCATCTTAACTGCCCTCCGGACATCACGGGTCCAACCCCTATTCTCATGGAGCAATTGACCAAGGGGGAGCCCATTTGCTGGACTCCATACATACGTAAGCCCTGACAGTTTCCGTTATTGGGCCTCAGCATGACCCAATAATGGGGACCTTGGCTCATCGTTGGGGCTATAAATACCCTCTCTTCTGAGAGGGTCAGGTATTCAACACTTTCTAAACTTTCATACTTGCTTGCTCATTTTCAAATCCATTTTGACATCAGAGTATATTTGTAATAAGTATATTTGTTTGATCAATTTAATTAAGCGTGTATAACATAAGCGTTTATTATATAAGTCTTTTTTTATTACTTTATAATATAATATAACAACTTATAGGTAACATTATAAATATGAAAAATTCTACACTAAAATTAGACATTTCTATTTATATTGATGTTAACTTCGTGAATGTTTGCATTACAATTATTCTTATAGATGTTAGTTATTTGATGTGTAAGAATAACATCTTTTTTAATTTTCAAATTCCATCGAATCATTTAATGAGTAAGTAAGATTATGAGGATAAGTGTTGTCAATGTAGAATACTCGGTTCTACGCAACTTTCGCACTTGATTACACTCACATCCCTAAAATCAATCTTCTCTACAACGATTCTTCCAAATCACATCATAATCAAAATTTTCATATTTTTTAACAAAATTTCCATTTATGTCCCTTCTTCCTCATTGTCTCTATCTTTTGTTTTCTATTCAAGATTCAACAATCAAGTTTTTTTTATAAAAAAAATTGGTTTATTTTTCCTTTTAATTATCAACCATTTTCTTAATTATAGGGTAAATCAATCCTCTTTCTTCATTGTTCTTTTGTGATCATATACATATTTCTTATTCATATAATTTTAAATACTTTGATTTTCAAAACCTCATGTCTTCTTTCGGTATTGAATTATAAGTTCTAGTTTGAAATCGATATTCTCCAATTTTTGCATTATTAAGTCACAACAATTTTTTTATAAGCAAAATTAGATTAAGGAGAGTAAAAGGGATACTCCAACCCATTATGTTGCAATATTGATCTTTTAAGGTGGATTTTTTATTGTTATCAATATTTGCCCTAAACAAAGGGCACCTCATACAAATTTTCACGGTTAATATGGGGTGCATTTGCTCAAAATATTCGTCAAGCAGAGAAAGAGTTGAAGAATGTGGAAAAGAAAGTGAATGGAATAAATCTTCAGTGCAATTAGTTGCTCCTACACAAATAAATGGGGTTGGAATAGCCATTACAATGGATGGTGGTAATATTATGCCACATTTGTCAAAGGCGTCATCGCAAGTGTTTCAAAGAGTAGAAGAGAAAAGCAATCAGTCAGATGATAGCAACAAAAGCCAACATCAAAGAAGTAAGACAATAAGTTCTGGTGTTGGTGAAAGAAAGCCAATAATGAGTAGAATACTCAGTGTGCAAAATTTTTCAGGAGAACAATATGTTGATTCTGGATGGCCAATATGGTTGTCCTCAGTTGCAGCTGAGGCTATCAAAGGTTGGGTTCCTAGAAGGGCTGACACTTTTGAAAAATTAGACCAAGTTAGTTCTATTAATATCATCATCTTTTTTTCATAACTTTTTACCTACATATGTTTGATTTACCCTGAAGTGAGTATTGTTGTATACGCAGATTGGGCAAGGGGCTTATAGTAGTGTGCATAAAGCTATTGATCGTGAAACTGGTAAATATGTTGCGTTAAAGAAAGTTAGGTTTTCAAGTGGAGATGTTGAAAGTGTTCGTTTTATGGCAAGGGAAATATATATTATGCGTCAACTTGATCATCCTAATATCCTCAAACTTGAAGGTATTGTCACATCTAGAACTTCAACTAGTTTGTACCTTGTTTTTGAATACATGGAGCATGACCTTGCTGGATTAGCAGCTAGACCTGGTATCAAGTTTACTGAACCACAGGTATATATATATAAATATCTACACAACATGCTCCATTAATACTATTTTTCTTATGAAAAATAAAAGGTTGTGTTGTCTTATGATATGGAATTTTTTAAACAGATAAAATGCTACATGAAGCAACTACTAAGTGGGCTAGAACATTGTCATAGCAAGGGTGTGTTGCACCGTGACATCAAGGGTTCTAATCTTCTACTTGACAATAATGGAAATCTTAAAATTGGAGATTTTGGTCTAGCAACAGTTTATGAACCTAATAGCAAAGTTCCATTGACAAGTCGTGTTGTAACTCTTTGGTATAGAGCCCCTGAGCTTTTACTAGGTGCTACAGACTATGGTGTGGGAATCGACATGTGGAGCGTCGGTTGCATTCTTGCAGAATTGTTTGTGGGCAAGCCTATCATGCCTGGAAGAACGGAGGTATATATATATTATGCATCATTATTGCATATTTATTATGTTTTAGATAATGATATTCACAATTCTACACTAATTTGATTTTTGTGAAGGTGGAACAAATGCACAAAATTTTTAAGCTTTGTGGTTCGCCATCTGAAGAATATTGGCAAAGAACAAAACTTCCATATGCAACAAGTTTTAAACCGCAAAACTCTTACCAACGACAAATCGCAAAAACATTTAACAATTTTCCTTCCACTGGATTGGCCCTTGTAGATAGACTTCTCTCAATGGAACCAGAACACCGAGGATCTGCAACTTCCGCACTTAAGAGTGAGGTAGTTAAATTGAAGAGAAAAAAATACATCATTTTATGAATTTTGAGTTTGTATATTACCTCCAACAACCTACTAACCTTTTAATATTCATGTCAGTTCTTCATTACAAATCCTCTACCTTGTGATCCTTCAAGCTTACCAAAGCTTCCGCCAAGCAAAGAGTTTGATGCCAAGCGCCGTGATAAAGAATCAATAAGGTGCTTGCTTTATGTTACAATTAAGTAAATTAGAAAAGCATGCTCTTCCACATAATCTCCAAAATAGTACTATTATTCATGCTTATTCATAAAACTTTTATTTATTTGTTTATATTAGAAAAAATAATGAAGCTATTAAAGAACGTGGACCGGGAAGTGTTTTAAGAGGAACAGGAAATACCAAAGCATTGAAAACACCAGACTATAATGGTCGGGGAGATATATCATTCCAGGTAACATATTTTAAAAAACATGCATTATTATTATTATTAATAACTCTTTTTTATTCTTATGGTTGCTTTAAACATTAACAGAGCAAATCAAATACTAAAATGTCTGGTATTAAATATGAATCCCAAGAAGACGACGAATCTAATAACAAGTGTGAACCAAGTAGAGCATCCATGCATAATGGATATACAACATTTACGCACAGTACAACAGGACCATCGTCGTTATCGAATAAGAGACAAGAACCATATAAGAAATATATTTCGGATTTAAGAACACAAAGGTCAAATGTGAATCAAGCAGCAATAGATTTCTCTATTTCTATTAAAAAGGAACAAGGCATGTCAGGTCGAGAATCAGGAATGCCTAAGAAAAATAGAATCCATTGTTCTGGACCATTGATGGCTACAGGGGGAAACATTGATGACATGCTTAGAGAACATGAGAGGTTAATGCAAGATGTTTTTCGTAGTGTTAAGAAAGCTAATCCGTAAGGAATTTTTTTGAGTGTTTATTGGATTTGAAACACTATTTTCCCATGCATGCATGTATGTTGCTACATAAAGGGTGGTTTAATGTAAAATGATAAACAAAAGAAACTCAAAAAGTTTCAAAAATGACATGAATCTGATATGTATCATATAGATGGTTAACAGTTATTGATGTAAAATATGTTTTGATAATCGGGGTTCTTCGTTGTTGCCTTGTTGCTTGATATTGATCGAGAAGATACAATGAAATTTCTTTCAATTTCTTTTATATTATGTTTCATGATTGTAGACAAAATAAAATATTTTTAAAGATAAAATACACTTAGAAAGATGTGTTTCTCTGAACAAAGTAAGGAGATTTCGCCAAAGCTTAGATTCCATCACCACAAAGAAATTTTGAGTTTATTTGCAAGTATGAATTCCATACAAAATTTGGCTTACTAAAAGTTACTTTGCTTGCTATAAATGCTAGAATATAAGGACTATCACTCAACACTATTATATTTTGGAAAATTATATGGTGCAGTCATTAAAATGAGAAGTCACTAATTTGGCCAATAAAAAATAAACTCTAACTTAATCAGTTCCACATAAATTATATTATATTGTACATACCATTTATTATTTTTCTCATATTTATTAATATTGCAATTAAGTTCCTATCATATTAAAAATGACAATTAATAATTTGAAAATTAACAATTTTAATTGTTAAATTGAAAATCAATACTTTTAATTGTTAAATTAAAAATCCATTAAAAGTGTCAAAATCTTTTGGATGAACAAAATTTCATTTTTCTCAACGAAACTTCATATTTCTCTTTTCTCTTCTGCTAATTTCATAGTCAACTCAACCTCAACTCTTTTCATACTCAATCCGTCATTGTTGGACGAATTCATCTTGTCCACCTTTCTGTTCGTGCTCACTTCATACACAACTTTATGTTCGTCCGCCATTGTTGAACGAACTGACCTCTATTATTCTTCATAACACTGCATTCAATCAGTCATCAAACAAAACACCACGAAAAATCTACAAATCGCAGTTTGCTTGTGTTCGTATTGAGAACAGAGTTGCTAAGGCAAATATGCAAAACTCGGCTTTTTTGGTCATCAAACAAAACACCACGGAAAATCTACAAATCGCAGTTTGCTTGTGTTCGTATTGAGAACAGAGCTGCTAAGGTAAATATGCAAAACTGGGCTTTTTTAGTCATCAAACAAAACACCGCAAAAAAGTGCAGTTTGCTTGTGTTCATATTGAGAACAGAGTTGCTAAGATAAATACGAAAATGTTTGTTATATTTATTTGAAATTAGTTACTAAGATTTAATGATATCAAATTGGGGTACTATATTTGATTTCAATTTGGGAATTAGGATTTATGTTTGAATTTGTTTTCTGTATATGGGTATTTCAATTTGGGGATTATGGATTATGTCTGAATTTGTTTTCTGTACATGTGTTTCAAATTTAATGATTTCGATTTTGAATTTTCTTAGTTACATTTGATTTTAATTATGGAATTAGGTATTATGATTGATGATGATTTTTACTGTGTTAAAAGTTGTTTTAATTCAGGTTTACGAAGGTAAACTCAGATGATTCATTTGAGGTTGATTTCAATGAAGTTCATTTCACTGATTGTGATATATCTGAGTTTGAATTGAATGATGATGAGGGTGACAGTTATCAAAGCTCAGATGATGATGTTGACGATGAAGATGATTCGGTTGAATTAGATACAATTGTAGGCGATAAAGTGGTAAGTATTAATGCCATGACTACTGATGAAATTCGTGCTATGGAATTCAGTTTTGTTAATGAATCTTATGATTTTTATTATAATTATGGTAAGTGTAAATGTTTTTCCATTAGAAAAAGTGATATTAGGAGAAGAGAGCATGGAGGTAGTAAAATAACAATAATGAGGTAGTTTGTATGCAACAAGTATGGTTCAAGAGAGAATAAACACTTATGTAGGACAAATAAGAAAGTAGATCACAAATGTTTGACCCGTACTAAACGCACAACTAGGCTTCGTGTGCACTACAAAACCAAAAAGGATATATATGTAGTGTCCGTTTTTAAAGAGACTCGTAACCATGAAGTTACAAAAAAAAATTGCAGTACTAACGATCCTATTGGGATACAAAGGTCAGCTGTAGCGAAGAACAATGGTGGTACTTGAATGAGTATTGAAGTAGCTGTAATTTGAGCATGCATGAAAAGTGATGTGTTGGAGATGATTTTTAGTGGTATAACACGGGTAAGGTTAGAATACCTCCATCTCTATACATTTTTGTGTCATAGTAGAGGAGTTTTTAATTTAAGTGGAGTCAAATCAACACAGATACAAATTAATATAATTCAACATTCAATCACTTAATTCTATGCATATAGTAATGGTTTTATCCAACATGCATTAACATTTTTCTATTTATAATTAATACCAATGAATGCTATTTAGGTTAGGTGTAACTAAATTTTTCACGTTTTTCCCACATATATAGTACCACCAAGAGAGGAAAAATAACATAAGGAAAAAAACATGTTTTCAAGTGAATTGTAAGGTGTTATTCCTCTTGATCAAATGTATGGTGGTGAATCTCAGTCAGTGACTTCAAGTGATACGTGATTATTTTTATCATTTACTTACATATTTGTGTTTATATATTTCAGCTTCAAGTTTTATTGTTTCATGATTTATTTTGTGAATCTTATAGTTGTATGTTTTTCTTTATGAAGGATTGATGAACAATGGGCTGAGTTTTTAGGTAATTACGGTGACAGTGAGGTTCAACAGAATGTCGATCTTGGTGACCTTGAAGGTGATGAAGGTGAAGAAGAGGTGGATGAAAATTTTGATGAACTTGTGGTCGAAGAAAATGGAATTTCATTCAAATATCATGTCATTATTGCTGCTGTAAGAGGCGACAATGTTTACGTAAGCAATCTAAACCTGTTATTTTAATCATCATGTTGGTATTTTAGATACGCATATATGATACTAATGTTGTAGTTGAAACATATTTAAAATGCATCACTTTCCGGCTACTATTGCTGAAAATCGGTTATTGTTGTTGCAAACTGAGATCAACCTTGTTGATGTCCATACAAGTGTTGTTTACCCATATGCGTTGAAGACTGGTAGGACGCTAAGGGAGAGATATCTTTGATTAGGTTGGTATGAGTATGTTAAAGTAACTCGTCTGAGGGCTGGTGATGTTCTTGAGTGCACTGTGAAAGATCCTCCTACAAGAATGTTTGTTCGTTTTATGATGTAATCCGTTTAATTTTATGTTTAGAATGAAACTTGATTGAAGTGGTAAGTAGTTGGTAGTATATTTTGCTATTGTCTGTTTAGGGCTTTAGGCCCATCGTAAAAAATTCCAACCATTTCAAGTTTGTGTACAATGTATGGAAGGTGAAATGAATCAAATGTTAAGTTTCATAATGTATTATGTGTTGCTTGTGTATAATATTTAATTAAATCAATATTTATGAGCTACATATAAAATAATTTTTGATTTTAAGGATTGAAAAAACTATGATAATGTTGAAAATATTGAAAAACTATGATAATATTGAAAATATTTTAAGGATTCAGGATTGATAATATTATTTTTATTACTATAAATTGATCCATTATAAAAATGAGATTTGTGTACAATATGATCAAATTATTTATGATTTAAAGTATGATAATGCTCAAATTAATTTTTCATTCTGATTGTTATGACTTTTTTTTCATTATGACTTTAACCTTTAATTTTTATTTATGACTTTTTTTTCATTAACTTGTTCTAATAACTAGTACTGTAAAAATTAACTTTTCTTTTTTCATTATAATTTTTTTTCTTAAATAACAATAAATTAGGTCATTAGTAAAATAAACCTTAACCTAGAAAATAAAAACTATAAATTAGGTCATTAGTATGTGAATTTGTACGTTTATTTGCATCATCTTATTTGAAGCTGAGATAAATGCAACATTTTCTGTGTTAGGCATGCAACAAATTTAGACAGTTCAACAAATTTAGTGGCATAAACATCTAAAACACCTTAAAATAACTAATGACAATAATCCAAGAAAAATACAACAAGATCTTAAACATCTTGGATGTATTTATTTCATTTTGTAGTTTCATTTCCATCTTCTCTCCTTTCTTGCATTGAAGTTCTTTAACTATGACAGTCATATCCTTCAAAATCTCTAATAAGTTGCAACCACAACATATATTTGCACTGTCCGTATTTGCATCGTTTGAGTCCAACAACAAATTTCTAGTTTCATGTCCTATTTTACAAACATATGGAGGTTGACCATTAACCCATATGAACAGCTTACAGCTTGTCATTGCCTATAAATGAATCAAACAAACAATGAAAACAAACATAAAACAAGAAATTGTTTTAAATAAGAAATTGTTTAAAATAAGAAATTTTTTAGTATAGGAAATCGTATAAAAATTAACAAAATCAATAATTGACTCCAACTCATAAAATAAGAAATCGTAACCAATAAAATGAAATCAAACTCACACCCCAATTTGCACATTTCCAATGCCTTCTTTTAGGATTATCATTTGAATTGGAGATGAACAGCCTCATTGGTTTATTGCAACCATATTTTGGTATTTGAAGGGCATGAAGTTTGAAATAAATGCCGAAGACATGATTGAATGGATGTTGAAGGTGAAGGCGAATGTGAAGAAGGGATGCGAAAAATTGAGAATTAAGGGTTTGTGAAGAGATGATACAAGAAGTTTTTGTAGGCGTGCAAAATATGCATTGGAATATGGTATGAGTATTTGGGGGAAGGATTCCCTCTAAATAAAATTTTCAGTTTTCACTTTGATATGGGTGAGAGAGAACGAAACATGAAGCGGCATAGAAGATGAAGCAGCGAGAAGGATTTGAATGCAATTTGGTGCAGCATATGCGTTGACATAGTATAGTTAACAGTCGCCCGATGTAATTCAATGGTTAATATATATAGG